GTAGGAAACACTGCAAGAGTTGGCAATACATAAAGCCCAGGTGCAGACATTACACTTTTACCAGTATAAGTGATCACAGATCGGAGACCAGTCTATACCTGTAACAGAGCAGAAGTTTGGCGCACATAGTCTGGTTTAAAAATGACAGAACCTGGTCTAAGATTTGTTCCCAAAGGATGAATATGTGTTTTTTTCACTAATGATCTAAATGATGCCACTTACAGAAAACCGGATAACTTAGATTGATTCTGCCTTGGGCTTTTTGAATCTTTGTACCTACCTTAAATCTAACTTCTTGGTGATTTCTCCAAAATGTCTCCTCCTACAAACCTGTGTTCCTGTTCTCAAAGTCCACACTGGCCACTACACTGAGGCTGGTGATACGTAGGGATTTTATTATTATTGTTGTTATTTATGCCTAAACTCACAGCATTCAGTTTTAAAGGTAGTCTATGAAGCTTTCCTGTCATATTAGACTGTTTTCAAGGTGGATGTGATTCTAAAAAAGGACTAGCTTCAATGGGAGTTGAAACCAAGAGTTTCCTGTCACCAGCTCTCTGAGAGACAGGAAAATGTGTTCTACCCTCTTTTCTTCTGATGCCCTTGATGCCACAAGAATTTTCCAGTTCACTTGGATACTGAGAATATCTGAAAACTGTGACCTGACTGAATCCTAAATACTCAGAAAATAAAAGCAAAAAGGCCTCAAATGTGATGACATATTTAAATGTCTTCATTTTAAAGCCTATCTCATGCTGTGGAAGGACAATCCATATTGTTTGAAATAACTGGGATTGGATATAATGAATAACTGATACATATTTATGTATTTGTGCAATTGATATGCCACCCTTCTCAACAAAGGCTGAGGCAGTTTACAGCAAAAAAAAAAAAAAATTGAGCAACATAAAAGGGCAACTAGAATAAATAAAAACAAAAAGAGACCTGCTAAACAACAAATTGGCCTAGTTTTAGTGATGCCTGCCCAAATAGAAAGGTCTTGCAGCACTTTTAAAAGATGTAAGAAACAAGACAAGCTATACAAAAACCCTTCAACACTGCAAAAACATATCCATAGAATAAGCCACTTTCTAACTCTGTCTGTTCTAGTAAACTCACACAAGCATGTTGCCCAACTTCACTCCCCAGGCAACCTGTTCAGAATATAGTAGAGCTTCTTCTCTCTCTGACTCCTTTTGGTGGGATAGTCCTCTACAAAAGATTGGCTCCTCAGAGGTTCTGAGAACTTCAGCATCCTTGTGGTAAGTTGGGCTTTAGACCCTATATTACTGAAAACATACTTTTGTTAATAAGCAAACCCAGCCAACCCATGGGAAAGAGAACATGGAAAAAGCATGTTCATTGCTGAGGTGGACTAACAGTCTCTGTATCTCCGAGGATTCATTTTTGTCCTGGATTTTTTGCTTTGCATGCCATATTTTGTATATCAAGTCCCAAATCAAAATAAGGGAGCTTTAAAAACCTGTTAAAAATCCCTATTCTATCTCCGCTTCACTTTTCCCCCATCCTCCAACCTTCTAGTACAGTACATACTAATTTTCAACCCAAACACCACCTGTCACACACAAACACTCATGGAAATGAAAACTCCCAGAACTTTGACAGCAAAACAAATGCTGCCGTGAAAGATTTATGAGCACAAGAGAATTTCTGAGGTTCTTATAGTTCAAAGCAGCTCTATCCAAACTTCCTGTTAAACACCAAATAGATAACCTGATAGCTCAAGTGTTGCCTACATCTTGCAGATTAAAAACAAGGTGTTCATTACCTTTTGCCCATCTGGACTTCTTTGTTCACTCTCTCATTATGTGTAAAGACTTGAGTCTTAGAAAATGTTATCACAATGTTGTGGTGGTTGAACAGAAAGCAGGAAAAAAGGGATTTTTTGTATACAGAAGAATAGTTTAGAACTCACACTCAACAGCTGCCTGCCCGTTCAAAATGAAACACAGATTCAGAGAGCTCCTACAAGGCCCTATTTTAACATAACCATGTGCTGCATCCAACAAGAATGGCTAGAGGAATCACACACATTCATAACAGAGCAAAGGTAAGTCTGAACCAAATGAGCCAAAGGGGAATTCCTTTTGCTATTAGTAATACAAACAAGTAAAGGATTACATTACCCTTATTGAAACCCAGAGCTATTAGAAGGTTACATCACTGATATACAAATTCAGAATAAAAAGCAACATTATTCTCTCCTGTATAAATACAGAGTCCATGCTACTTAAGTAGAGCTGGATATAATATGAGGATTGAGTTGGGAGCCTATTCAATATTGTTCAAAGTGTTTCATTTGTTGCTGAAATTTTCCCACCAACTGTAAATTTAAATGTGGCCTGAACTATATATGGTAAAAATTCACTTTCCCTTCCCTTGCTTAACCTGATTAAAAATGTAATGAATCATTATGACAGTAAAAATGTCTTGGAAACAAGGATTTTTTAGGATGATATTTTTTATTGAACCAACTGTAAAGTTGGGATAAAGTTAGACTAGCTTTTCAACACAAAGCATTCTTCTTTGGGTCTCTGTTTTGGAAGTGTTGTCATCTGTACTACTAAGTCTGCACCTTGAAAATAAATTAGCATCAGTATATTATGGCCTATTTTTTAAAACTCTTGTAGCCCCTTAATAGGGAGCTTCAGAGAGCCTTAAATGCTGTCTACAGTTTTGTTTGGCATCTTAGGGGAATTATTATAAAGTCTTATAGAAATCAGATGGATTCAGCTTGTTTGGTCAGGGTTGCAAATTTTGTGAAAATTCAGGCAATTTTTTTCTTTCACATCTTTGGTTGAAATGTTAAAATCTTCCATGAGTCGTAAATAATAAATATAGATACATATATATGGGCACACATGCACACAAACAGTCAAAACATCCAATGTTGGAAAATTTTAGCTATCTTTATTTGTCAAGAGAACAACGTACAATGGGTTAAAATGCAGAACTGCATTTTTTTAAAATTTGCATACTGGGTCAAATTCTTTACCAGTTGGAATAATGATATATTTAAGGGAAAAAAAACAAAATCCTAACCTCCAGATCAGTGATTCTCACCCAGGGTGCCACAGCTACCTGGGATGCCTCCAGATTCTTTCAAAGGTTTCATGAGGTTTGAGGAAATAAGCAAGATATGAGGAGATATGCAGATACATTAAGCAGATAAGCATGGAATCAGGCTTGTACCTGTCTGGCAGTTCCCCATCCCCACTGTCCATCCCCTCTTTGAGGAAGTGGCCACTGTAATATATAAAGTATTAAATTATGTGCCACCCAATGCACAAAAATAATGGAGTGGTGTCTTGGAGTTAACTGAGATGTGCTCAGGTTGAGTGAGGAGTGTTTTGAGTCCAAAAAGTTTGAGAACCACTGCCTTAGTGAGTAGGTAAAGAGTGGGGAAGGTCTTCCTTTTAGTGTGTAAAAAGTTGATAGTTGTGTTTTTCTTTCACTAAGATTTCAGACCTATACATGGGTGTAGGTTGTAGCTGTGCAGGTCTAAGGACACAGGCAGACAAGGTTCTTTGGGTAAATCTGATATGTTTTATTAAACCAACTCTTCTTTGCAAGCTTTCGGGTACAGCCCCCATGGCTCTCCAGGGATCTAGCAGACCTTCTGAGGCTAAAACACAAGGCCTACAAAGGATGGAGGATGGGATTCACCTCCAATGAGGAATATCTTGCACTGGTCCGATCCTGCAGGGAGCAAACCAGGAAAGCCAAGGCTGCAACTGAACTCCGACTAGCTTTGAGCATCAAGGACAATAAAAAGTCCTTTTTCAGATATGTGGGGAGCCAGAGGAAAAGCAAGGGCAACATTGGACCCCTGCTGAACCAGATGGAACAACTGACAACTGACGCCCAGAAAAAAGTCAACCTATTAAATGGGTACTTTGCATCAGTCTTCCATCAGTCCCATGGGATGCATATGCCCACCACGGAACAGGGAGGTCCCCTGTCCTCCATCAATGCTGACCTCATGAATGAACACCTTGAGAGTCTGGATACCTTCAAGTCAGCCGGCCCTGACAATCTACACCCCAGGGTACTCAAGGAGCTGGCGAGCATCATAACTCAGCCTCTGGCAAGGATCTTTGGGATGACAAGGTTGAATGGTTATAAACTACTACAAGATTATTTCAGGCTGGACATAAGAAAGAATTTCTTTACTGTTCAAGCCCCCAAGGTCTAGAACAACCTGCTATCGGAGGTGGTTCAAGCACCTACATTGAACTCCTTCAAGAGTAAATTGGATGCTTATCTTGCTGGGATCCTATGACCCCAGCTGGCTTCCTGCCCTTCAGGTGGGGGGATGGACTCGATGATCTTCCAAGGTCCCTTCCAGCCCTAATGTCTATGAAATCTATACCCTTCATCAGGCTGAGGAAGCTTCTGCAGATGATCTGTGCTCTTCCTGCATGGAGTAGTAAAGCAGCCAGAGGCTAGTACATATGCAAGAAAGCCAGTCAGTTAAAATGTAAATTGAGGTGGTCAGTAGCTGACAGACAAGGGGGAGTGGGGGAGGGAATGAGAATACCTGGTAAACAGTAGAGGGCTTACCTTGGGAGGCAGTCATTAGACAGATTATGTATCAAAATCCAATTCCTATATTTAGTCCATGTTTTTTTGTATCCATTAGATTGATGAAGTGAAGATCATGGGCTTGTCTGTGAAAGGTGCTTTGTAAATTTGCTTTGAGGTTTAGAACTGAGAGTTTGGAGAGAGAGTGGTTTTCTTGTCAGACATGTGCCCCCACAGGTAGTTGGGTATTCTTGTCTTTGATAGATTTTTGGTGTGCATTCATTCTGGTGCACAGTTGTTGTTTGGTTTCTCCTACATATTTTCCATCAGGGCATTTGGTGCATTAGATGAGATATAGGTATATTTCATTTTTGGAAGTGCAGGTATAAGATCCAACAATACTGATGGTTCTGTTGTGGGGTGAAGTAATTGTGTGGGTGGTGGAGATGTGTTGGCAGGTTTTATATTTCTTGTCATAGCATGTTCTGGATCCACTCGGTGTTTTTGCGGCTGTAGGAAGTTTGCTTCTGGTGATGAGGTTGGTGAGGTTTAGTGTTTGTTTAAAGGCTAGGATGGATGGTTCTGGAAACATCTCTTTGAGCATTGGGTTTTCTTCTAGTATGGGCTGCAGTTGTTTGAGGATTTTCCGTATAGGTTCCAGGGAGGGATGATATGTCCTAACCGTGGTGTGCAATTCATGGGGGGGTTCTTCTGTACTGCAGCAGTTCTTCACATGATATCTGGGTGGCTCTTTCAAAAGTACTATCTGTCTCCCAGAAGGAGTGTTCTTGTTGCATGAAGACTCTTTTGAGATTTGTGAGGTGATGTTCACAGGTGTTCTCCTCAGTGCAAATTTGGTGGTATCAGACGGCTTGGCTGTATATTACAGCTTTCTTGGTGTGTTTAGAGAGAGTGTTAGTTCTGTAAAGATATGTATGTTGGTCCCTGGGTTTCTTGTATATGGTGGTCTGTATTTTACCATTCTGGATACTGACAGTGTATCTAAAAAGTGAATGCTGGTGTTGGAGTATTACAGAGATAGTCTGATGGAGGGGTGCTATATGTTGAATTTCTGATGGAAATCAATCAGAGATTTCAGGTTTTCAGTCCAAATGATGAGGATGTCATTGATATATCTTAAATATAGCAAGGGTTTGATGGTGCAGTCCTTGAGCATGTTTTCTACCAGGTGGCTCATGAAAAGGTTGGCATACTGGGGGGCCATTTTGGTGCCCATAGCTGTGTCCATAGCATTGGTTATTGAAAGTGAAGGTGCCATGTGTGAGGATGAAGTGTATACATTCAGTAATATCTTTGGGTCGTACTCTGAGTTGTAATCTTGCTCCTGTAGATATGTAAGTCAGGCTTGAATGCTATCCAGGTGTGAGATTCTGCTGTATAGACTGGCAATGTCCATGGTGGCTAGGAGGGTGTTGCTGGGAAGATGGTCAGTGTGTTTAAGTTTTTGTAGAAAGTCTGTAGTGTCTTGGAGAAAACTCGCTCTTTGGGTGGCTAGAGGTTTTAGGTTTTGATTCAATGAAACCTGATATTTCCTCAGTGAGGGTTCTGTGGTTGGATATGATAGGTCTGCCAGGGTTCCCTTGTCTGTGGATTTTAGGGAGCAAATTTAGACCTGTACATGGAATATTTTTGTATATACC